CCATATATTGCACCTGTGCTTCTCAGAGTAGGCTCCAACTGTAACTTTGTATTCAAAGAGTTTTGAGTATGAGAATGGGACCAAATGCAGACAACATAGCAATAATTACCTGGTGTGTGTGTGTGCACGCATGTGTGCATACACAAAGTAGTTCAGGTATGTAACATTTTAGGGATAGCTAATAGCTGTCTTTTATGCTATGACTCCCTTCATGGAGCCCAATGACAATGAATTTATCATGAAACTCTTTCTTAATCATTAATACCATTTAATGAGTACTTATCTCATTAAGCCACTAGTTACTTTGCCAAACACTTTCCACTTATTCATTCATTTAATTAATATTTGCTGAGTGTTATGAGTCAGATACATTTTCATGGGTTGAGGGAAGGATAGATTATAAGAAAAAATAAATAAATGAAACATGTGGTATGTTGGAATATAATGAATTTTGGGTAAGGTGACTAGACGTCCTGCTTTTGGTGGGACAGTCCTGATTTTTAACAATTTGTTCCATGTCCTGTGGTGTTTTAAAAAGTCCCAATTTTTGGAAAGAATGCATGACAAGCTAGGGAACAGCAGGAGAATGGAAAGGGAATATACGGTTTTCTGCTGCTGAAAAGGTTAATGTAACTCCATTTGGGGAATGAAGAAGTTAATGTAACTTCATTTGGAAATGAAAAGGCTAATGTAAACTCCCTACTCCCCTCCTGGGCAAGGTATCAGAAGGAGACTGGCTCCCTCCCTTGCTTCTAGGCAAGGACAATTAGCTCAGAAGGAGCCAAACTGCCTGGAACAAACAAGTAGCCCCCCACCCCCCAGAGTAAGGTGACCAGATGTCCCGCTTTTGGCTGGACAGTCCTGATTTTTAACAATTTGTCCTGTATCTTGTGGCATTTTAAAAAAGGCCTGATTTTTGGAAAGAATGCACAACAAGCTAAGGAACACAGGAGAACAGGAAGGGAATATACAGTTTTCAGCTGCCATGTGGCTATTTTGCCAGGATATGCATTTTATATTATTTTTGTTAATTTTATAATGTTAAACTTTAATAATAACAAATAATTGTTCAGAACTGATTATTGAGGATTGCTTATCAAAGTTTGCATTGTTGTCAGGCCCCGCCCCAGACCCCCCCATGGTGTCCCGCTTTACCAATGTTAAAATCTAGTCACCTTAATTTGGGGGGAGAAATGTAACAAGGCAAAAGAATCCCAGAGTTTCTGGGGAGTGGTGGCAAGTTGTATTTTAGAAACGAGTAGTCAGGACAGGTTTTTTATCAGGAAAGCAATAGGTGTGCAAGGACTTGAAGAAGCTTAGAGATTTAGCTAGGCAGATATTTGGAATAAGAACTATCCAGTGTGAAACATCCAAAGTATGCCCTTCAAGATAAATTCAAAGACAAACAAGCCCCCTGAGAATGAATAAAGGTTTTAACCAAGTTCATAATGCAACAAAAATCAGTATTATGATCATAAAGGAAGATATAAAACTGTCATTCTTTATAAATGATAGGTTTTCTAATAAGTACAAAAGAACCAGATATTAACCATTGTGATTAATGAGAAAGTTTAGTGAAGATTCTAGATATAAAAATCAATGTAAAATCCAATTTTATATCTACCATCAGTTAGAAAAGTCATTAAAAAGTATAGTCTTTTAAGTGCCATTAAAATAGCAAACAGTCTGATAGAAAAGTAGGCAAAGATTTTAAAAAAGCAGTTCTTAGAGGAAGAAACCAAATTCCCAATGGATATTGAAAAGATATTCAATTTCATTGGTAATTAGAAAAATGTAGATTAAACTCACTATGGCATGCCAATTTACATCTATCAGACTCGCAAAAATTTAAATCTGCTTATATCAATAATAGGGTAAGATATAATGATGCAACTCTTGCCCACTGGTTGAAGGAGTATACTTGCTGCAGACATATGGAAAACAAGTGGAAATTATCTGAGATGTGTTAAAGACACACACATTTTGAATCAGTATTCCATCCCTGAGTCTAGCCCATAGAGTCAATCTCGAACATGTGCATCAACAGATGTGTGGTACACAAGCATGTTCTCATCAGTAGCAAAGCACTGGAAATAATCCAAAAGTTCATCAGTAGCCCAGCTCTTAAAACAGTGCCTGGTATATAGTAGGTACCCAGTAACTAAAGGAAAAGGAGCTACATGGATATATAAATTAGAAATGATCCATAAAATGGCATACTATAAAATGCCATACTATCCAACAGTCTACTCAAATGTGGTCCAGCATCACAGGGTTTGTTCTTTTCTTCCTTTCTTGCTTGTATATAAGTTTTTTTTCCAACAGTGAAAAACTTAGATTCCAATACCCCAGACATGTGCTTTCATTTTGCCAAAATTGTTCTTTGCTATATAGATCTCATACTGTTTCTTACTCTTCCCTTCTGCATATTTTTAAAGATCAGTCCATGTTGCTGCGTGTGTATCTTGTCTCTTGCTTCCAACTAGTACTATTATTCATGGTGAAAATACATCCCCCCAACTTACTGATATGCATCTTTCTTTGCAGAAAAAAATTATATATATAATCTCCAAAAAGGCCTTAAGCAAAGGCTTCAGCAATAATCCCTAGGGAGAATCAACCTCTGCCTTTTTAATTGCTGACTGCCTCTAGCTTTTCCATCAGCTATTTTTCTTCGCATTAGCTCTATGAGAGCAAGAATTTTTTCATTGTTGTTGTTGATCTCTGATGTGCCTCCAGCGTCTAGAACACCTGTCAGCACATAGTCAGTGCTAAATTAATATTAGAAGAATAATTGAATGAGAGAAAGGTAAGGTCCTGGGCAATTTCAGGAGACCAAGGGAGAGAATCTAGTTTTAAGGTTAGTCAGACAAAATCAAAATATTTTACTTTCCTATTTGCCTCTTTCTAAACAGTGTTTGTCCTCACTCATGAAAACATTAAAGTGGCTATTAATAGAAACAGTATTGCACAATAGACGTGAGATCCAGTCCGGACTTCACCTCTTCCTGGTTTTGTGACTTGTCCTCAGGGTTCAGGTTATGACAACAATTTGTAGGTAAAATCACCCAGTAACTTGGGCATTTTGTGATATTGGTGACTGATGTAGATTAGTTGTTCTTTGTTTATTTCATCAATTCATAGGAATTGTTTATAGAGGAAAGCTATCAGCCATGTTATATCTGTTGTAAATATTTTAGTGAGTTTTGTGTTTCCCTTTTGATTTTGGCTAATTTTTTGAAGAAAGAAACTTGTCATTTCTATGTAATCATAATAATCTTTTCCTTTATTCAAAAATCTTTCTTCTTGGCTAAGAGTCCCACATGTGAATGACACTTACCAGTTAAATAATAATGCTGATTGTAAATTCAGATTAACAAGGATCACAGACCCCCCACCTAACCTGTCCCAGAGGCCCATTTTCCAACTCCTTACAAGCCCCTTCCACTGCAAGTCCAGGCAATAGGCATTAGTAACAAACCATTAGTCCCCTTTAAACTATTGGATTTTAGATGATGATTATCCTTCAGGATGGCTGTTGAAATTAAAAGGTGCTAAAAGATTATGTACCTCTTTATCTACCTTTATCTGAGAATGTCTTAATGTCCCTTCATTCCTTCATTCATGGATATAGAATTTGTGTTTGGCAGCCAGTGAGAGCATGCACTATCAACTCTGCTCCACATCATCTCCTTCAGTTTCCTTGATGCTACAGTTTTGTCTCTTTTTAATTTTTTTTTGTTTCAATAGTGTGTTTAATCATATTACTTTGGTTCCTTAAAAATACTTTTTGATTAATTCATGTTTTATAGTCAGTTAATAAACTGAAGAGATTTTACCTAGTCTGTTAAGTTACATCTTTTTGTCTTTCAGATTAGTAAGTAATTTTTTAAGCTTGAAAAAAGAACTTTAAACATATTTTTTGAAATGTATATGCAGGACATATGATTTTAAGTAATTGGCCACTATTCTGTTTCTGAACTAAATTGCAGCACACCAATTTAGGTTGAAACAGAATAGTGGTCTTATTAAAATTTTTTACTCAACCAATTACTCAAATACCCACTGGTATATGTATGTGCTGGGCTCCTTAAACAGTTACATGGGATTACCATAGATTTGTTCAAGTGTGATGCCAGATGTGAATTTTGAGAAGGCCTAAATACCCAGGTCAGATAGTCTTGTGAAACTGTGATGGAGTCATAATGAACTGATTTCTTGCAGTTTTTTAAAAGTCATGACCATATTAAACCTTGAGCATTTCCGTGCTTCATTAAGTAATCTGGGAAAACATGATTGAGTTTGGGCTGGATTTGGATTAGTTTACCTTTAATAAAGATTAAATTAAACCACGAAAGGGAAAGGCCATTTAAGCACATCAGCAACAAAGACCATAAACAAGTGCAAATGGAAAGTGCAGACAACCAGAGCAAGCAATGGATGAAGAGGAGTGCTCAGAAAGAGACGACGGGAAAATTCACCAATAAATATACGCGACTAGCAAATATACCAGAAAGGGAAAAAATACACGCATGTGTGTTTGGTGGCTTTCTCTCAGAGTTATTGCACTATGCGAATTAAAGAAAAACAAATGAGAGTTAAAGAAAGGTAAAATGGGCTGGCCGGCCAGGGAGGGAACCGCGCGAGAAGTGAAAGTGGTGTGAACTAGCTAGGCTTTCTGGATGTGCTTTCCGTACAGAATTAGCGAAGCATCCAGACCTTCCACTCCCACTCCACTCTAGAGGATTCCGCAGGAGCGACGACTGGCAGCTCCGCCTTCCAGTCACCTCAGACCGGGTTCTAGAAGCCCAGGAGGAGGCGGTGCAGCTAAGGGCCAGGCCTTCGTGGGCGGAGCTGTTTCGGTATCTGCAGCTCCGGATGAGGGGCGGGACTACTGTGGGGGCGGGGCTATTCTAGAGGCGGAGCTACCCAGGCGAGTGCTGCAGTAAAGAGGCGGTGAGGGGGCGGGGCGGGCTGGACGCGAGGAGGCTGTGGGGTGCTCCAGTCCTCGCGTCCGCCCGCCTCCTAGGCTCGAGCTCTAGTCGATCTATTGGTCCACAGGGCCTGTGCCAGGCCGGTGCCCATGGCAGCTTCGGCAGCTCTGTCGGCAGCGGCAGCAGCAGCCCTATCGGGCCTGGCGGTGCGACTGTCGCCCTCCGCCGCGGTCCGCGGCTCCTACAGCGCCTTCTGCAAGGGGCTCACGCGCACGCTGCTCACCTTCTTCGACTTGGCCTGGAGGCTGCGCATGAACTTCCCCTACTTCTACATTGTGGCCTCCGTGATGCTTAACGTCCGCCTGCAGGTGCGGATCGAGTGAGCGCCGCGGCAGCTCCAGTGGCCGGGCCCGAGGGTATCCCACAAGCCCACTCGTATGCTCCAGGCCCAGTCCCTGCATGAAGGACAGTGGGGCAGCCCAAGGCCACAGGGACGCAGCGGGGGGTGGAGGCGAGGCAAGGCGGCCAGTGCCAGTCAACTCTAGATCTCTGCAGCAGGAGGACGGACACCGAGCCTTGGCTCCTGTCACAACCGGCCTCAGATCGCGCAGAAACTCACTAAATGGTTCCTTTCTACCAGCCCAAGAAACTATTTGAGTTCAGGCGACCTGTTGCTTCATATTGGCCAAAGGGGGAACCAGAAGGAAGGGATTCTGCTTCAGCCACTTAATCTTTCAGGCCCAGAGCAGAAAGGTAGGAGGCGACAGGCTGGAATGGGGGCGGGGTTGCCATGACATCTAGATGTGGAGGCGCCTTGGTGGTTTGGGGAAATATGAAAAGTACCCGGGCAAACCAGCCCAAAAAGCCGTCGAGCCCAGCAGGGTAAAGGAAAGGAATCCACAGACGCTCCCCTCCTCCCCAGCCACAATTCCTCAGTAGAGTGAGGGGCGGCAGCAGCCTCAGCATCTCGCAGGTTAGCCCAGTATCAGTAGACCAAAGCGATCTCCCAGTCCCGCCTCCGGTCCAGTTACGGACCTCCTTTCCGCAGAGGGCCCGGTGGTGTCACCTGAATCCCGGGGAATGGAAGGGAATAGTCGGGGGAGTGGGGTGGTGGCGGCCCAGGGAAGGCTCTCAAGGAGAAAAGATGCTTTCATCCCTCTGTGGTGGGCATGGGAAGGATGCTTCTTTTCTGAGCCAAACCCCAGGGCTGTCCTCTTCTCTGTGCTGCCCCAGGGCTCTCTGAAGCTCCTGCACAGCCCTTGGCAAAACCGCCCTCGCCCTCTGAGGCCAGGGTACCAGTCTCTGCTTGTTCCTGCTCTCCCTGTGCTCCCCTAGCCAGTATTTGAGGACAGTCCCCTGCAGCTCTACCTTTGCATACAGGGAGCAGAGGGAGAGGCAATCCTCCCATCACTTCTCCCACAGCCCTGCTCTCACCCTAAGGCAGCAGCCTTTCTTCCCAGCTGCTCCTACCACAGCCCTCCAAGGGCCGGCCACAGAGGCCCTTCCTCCAACCACCAGTGGCCTTACTGATGGTGAGGCCTGCTCCAAGGAAAGCTAGGTCCCCAGATTCTAGGAAAGCTAGGCACCCCAGTGAGCCTACTGTGTATGGTGTACAGAATGAGACCTCCTGGAGCAGACAGCAGTTCTCAGGCTGGGGTTGGCAGAGCAGATGGAGGAGAGGATTGTAGAGAACACCCTTGGTGAAAATAAGGACCTCTCCAGGTGGCAAGGCAACTCTGAGGCCTCCATCTCTTTCTTTCTCTTCCAGGCACCGGCCTTTGTAGGTGGTTGTCACTGATTCCTCTAGCCTTGTCAAGAGTGGGATCCCTGTCTGTGGGGCACTCCTGGCTCTTGAGCTGCCTGGGGAGCATCTGAGTGAATGGCCTGGCCAGAAGAAGAGGAAGGGCCTTACCTGTAGAGGTACAACATGGGTGGGGCTCCCCAGTGATTGGGTCCTGACATGGGGAGGATGGGACATGTTCCCTGGGGACTGAGATCTCCTAGGAACATTAAGAGAGAGGTATCCTCCTTCTCCTGATGACGGAGGAAGCAATGGAGCTGAGTCTGCCCCTTGGTTCTGCAGGCCCCCACCTCCTGCCACAGTCTTCTCTAAGACCTGGCATGTGGGAGCTGGGACACAGGGCTCCCAGGCAACCTAGGGAGAGAGGGGTGCAGGACCAAAGAATCTGAGGACCTAGCTTTCCTTGTAGCAGTATGGAAGGTCACAGGGGAGACCCAGCAGAACAGTAAGCAATATAAGATAAAAGAGAGAAGGGTCCCAGAAACTCCTGTGGAGCCAAGTTCTCACCCACAGTGCCTACCCTCCCCACCTGCCCTGTACTTGACCAAGGGATCCTCAGTGGTTGAGTGGCACAAGCTTCCCAGTTTGGTGGTGGAGTGGGGGTGATGGTGGCTGCATGGTTCCTGGGATATGATGTAAACAAGAGTGTTAAGGGATAGACCTGGGGTGGGACAGGGCTGGGACCCATGGCATGACCGCATCTCTCTGTCCCCAGGCTCAGCTCCCGATCCCCAGGATCACACACGAGAATCTCATCTGCATGGGCTTGGATCAGTCCTGGGGGTTCCAGGCATGCTGCTAACAGGTGCACCAAGAGTGACCCAGAAGGGAACCAGGAGGGACCCTGGCCCTCGCCCCCATCCCTGTTCCCACATCTCTGGCACTAGTACCTGGAGGCCCATATTCTCAGTTCCTGGGACTGAAAACTGCAGCTGTCTGGTCAGCCCTGAGGCTGAGCAGCCCGGCCTCTTACCATCTGCCTTCCTCAGCTGCCCACTGGAGCCAGGACCCAATTGAAGCTCTCTGGCTGCCTCACCCCAGGATGGAGCTGGCTGGTGGCTGCCATGTGCCCCTGTGTTTGCTCACAGCCAGGGCCCAATGGTGTGCTTCTTTGTGCCAAGTGTCCTGCTGGCCCTTCTTATTAACCCCACCCCATCCCCCCTGGGCCCCTTATCAGCCTGCTGACCCCATGCACAGATCTCAGGATGCCTCTGAGGGATAAGAGGCTTCTGGGCTGGAGGAGAGCAGAGGGGCGAGTCAGGGTCCTCCTTGGGTCATACTCAGATGTGGCCCTTTCCAATCCTGGTCTCACCATCTGAGTGACTGCATCCCTGGCTCCAGCCTCTTCCTGGGCCATCCAGGAAGGGAAGAGGAGGGCCATCCTTGTACAAGGGGCTTGGCCTGGGGCCAGGAGGCCATCCCCACTGCAGGGAGAAATGAGCTTCAGGGGTCCCTGCCCTCAAAGTCCCCACTGCAGGGACCCCACGTACCCCCATTCCGAGGGGCCAGTCTTCAGTGGCTTCAGCTGGGGCTGTGCTGGCCCAAAGACTGGCTTTCAGCAGAGTGTTCCTGCCCCTGATTTCTTGCCCTTCCTGCCAGCAGTGGGTGGCTCAGGTGCTGTAGCTTCCTGCCTCCCCGTACCTACCACTGGACCCTTGCTGCGTGAAGGGGTCTCCATGCACTTTATTTGCAGTTTGTTTTCCAGGTAGCGCTTCTACAAATTCAGATACTGACCGGAATGACTTCTTTTCTGTGTGTGATTAACTCTACTGGTCAGCACAGGCTGGTTGGAGGAATGTTCTTGTTTCTGGTGTTGTCATGTCTTATTGTTTGTCTAAGTTTTTTAAAAAGTCTTTGATTTGGCACAGTGCAGCCCTGACTGGAAGCCTCCTGTGTTTGGTGGGTGTGATGCAATGGCCCAGGAGGAGAGAGGCCCAATGGTGAGGAAGTCACCAGCTCCGATGACCAGGAGCTGAGAACCCTGGTCCCACAGAAGCCTCAGAGGGTTAGGCTGGGGTAGTAGTGAGAGGGTAGCTGCAGGGAACATGTTGGCTATTCAGAAGCTGAGCCAAGACCTAATTTGACCCAGAACACTGTCCCAGGAGAAGCAGACAGTAGCCTAGCCTGGCCCAAGAGGTAGCAGTTTGTCCCTTTCACAACCTTTGTTCAAATGACCTAAAACATAAGTCCTTTCTTCCATTTTATAGCCTGGTGTTCAAGAGTTATGAATTCATTTGAACCCCCAGGGTGTGCGAGGGCGAAGTGAAGTGAAACAGATGACCTGTGGGTCATTTTGTGTATCACTGAGATCCCTCTCCCTGCCTGGGGCCTCTCCTACTGCCCCTGCCAGCCAGGTGGCTGTTGGAGTCCTGGAGAAGATAAACTGGAGGCTCTGGAAGCCCACTTCCCTTCATCCTTCATCCCATCTTGGACTCCAACTCTGTCCCATCAGAGTTCCACTCTCAGTGGGTCCCCAAAGAAGCCCCAGCAGGGTTTCTGGAGCTACAGGAGCTATAGGGGTTGGCCAATGGAAGAGGGCTGGGGAGGAAGGTAGCAGGGTGGGTTAGAGGAAGGCCTATGGGCCCAAAGAAGAAGGCATCCTGAGAATACGGTGCTATGCTCAAGCTGAGGACCACAGCCTGGGATGAGGGGCCCTGGGTCCACCTTCTACCTGGTGCCAAGGGGAACCCAGAGACCAGAGCACATTGACAAGACGGACCCTTCAATAGCACTGGTGGTGATGCCCTGTGACATCTGCCTTCATAGGAGGGATAGGCCTCAGTCCCTGCCAGTCCCTGAGCTTCCCTCCCCTTTGTCCAGATGCTCCTGTTCAGTCCCTGATGGTCCCACCACACTGTAGGGACCACCTCATTTGGTACACAGAGATGGGAGATGATCAGCCTAGGGCCTGAGGTCTTGTGAAGAGGGAGAACCACCCCTCCTCTTCATCTCACCCTCTGATCCCCCCACCCCGGGGAAGGGGAAGGACAGGCAGGCTGATCCTGCTCTGGTGAAGAGCTGTGCCTAGGAGACCAAAAGCTTGTGCCCTGAGCCCAGCTCTTCTGCTTGTGACAGTGTGGCCCCAGGCAAGTCTTAGACACCCACCAGTTTTCAGAAGGATAACCTGGGGTCCTAGTGGGAAGTTAATGTGAAATCTATTGAATATGTCATCATATCTCACATGGAGCAGCTTTGTCCCAAGTTAAGGGAACCAAGTGAAGGGAGCAGACATCTGATGAGAGCCTGCTGTGTGTCAGGCACCACGCTAGGTGCTTTGCATTGCCAATCTCCTCATAGTCCTGTGACCACCTAATGAGTATCTCCATTTCACAGAGAAACCAAGAATTAGAGCCCAGTCTGAAATAGATCCCCAAGCATGAGCTCTTTTCTGGAGCCTCTAAAGCCCCGTCGGGGCAGTGAATCAGGCTGGAAGGATGGTGGGATGGCAAAGGTGGAACGTGATCCTGTCCTGTCTGGGTGGGGTCCAGCAGACAGAGAAGAAATCTAGGGCTTGGGGGACTGAGCTGCAGTCACACTGAGATAGGTTCATCTGTCTTCCCTCCATCCCATCTCTAGAGACTGACTG